TGAAAGCAGTACCGGTGTTGTGAACGTCAGTACATCCTAGGTCAATCCAAGGTTTTAAATATCAAGATTCTCAAATACCACCCTGAAGAGCCTTGTTGTTAAATGCAATAATCTGACAGATAAGACTAATCTCGCCAGACAGTGTACAGCATCAACTACTCTATGCAGATGTTTAAATATTATGCGTTACGTTAGGCACTTGCACTGCATCTGAGAACTCATATGCAAAAATAATTAACAAAATTAGTATTCAGTGCATTGGTGGGTTAGTATACTGACACATTTGCATCTGATTGAGCAAAATAATTACAAACGATATCATAACGCTGTTAATCAGTCAGAATGTAAAATTTCCACTTTTTAAATATTATCCAGTGGGAAAATAAACGTATTATGAAGCAATGCTATGTTTAAACTTGTAATCGTTTCACATTTCCTCTGTGGGACGTTCCACAATGAATCAGGATCATCCACTTCTTCTGCTCTTTTAACATTCTTCCTACTGACACATTCACACTCCCACCTTTTTGATGGTCTTCCCTTACTACGCCTCTTCCACCGCACATCCCTTGGGTGATTATCTTTAAGCCACTGCTGCTGCCTCTTCTTCAGGGATCCCCCTGTCTGTCATTCTTCGAGTGCTGCCTAATTTGTCCTCTTTGCCATCCAGTGAATGGGCAGCATCCCCCTGTATCGTTTGAATTTATACTTGATACAATAACATTCGTAGTTTAGTAAAATAAATGAGAAAATAATAATCCTAAAATACTTACTAGGAAGTTAAGTCATACCAGATCTATCCACTGCTTTATGAAGGCCTCTGCCAACAGCATCCTTCATGGTCTTGTGAACCACCAATCTATGTTTACTCCTACATGTGAGCTAATCTCATCGCTCCATCTCCATCATGGTCACCCTGTTGGGTATCTTGTTGTCTTTGGCTGCCATTCCCTTCCAGCACATTTGGCTGCCAATCTAGCAATGTGCCCAAGCCCATTTAGTTTCCTTGACAGCCAATTTGACTATCATTTGCTTGTGTTCTCTGAACCATGTGTTCCTGTCTCTCCGTGCAATTCCCAGCAAACATCTCTACATGCCTATGCACTTTTCATTTTTTGATCAATTTTCTGTCAGTGTTCACATCTACGATACATGTCACAGTGGGCAATGTGCACTGATTTAAACTATTTAGCCACAGCAAAGGCCATTTGAGAACTGTTTATTAAAACTGTAAAAGTGGCTACCCTAGCCACTGTATTATTAAAAAAAAAACAATGCCGTGAAATTATTTTTTTCCATTTTGCGTCGATTTTTTTCATCACACATTGAATTGTTTGGATTTGCGTCAACTAACTGAATGTGTAAAAGGCAGATTGTATGGATGACTTATGGATTTAAATACATCTGCAGAAATACATCTGCAGATGTATTTCTGCTTGTTCGTATTTTCTAAGCAACACGCTCGGTCAGCAGCGTTGCAGTTAAACAGAGGCTGTGCCACAACGCATCTCCAGGCTCCACCAGGGGGCCCCACAGCACCCTCCACGACTCCACAACACGAATATTAGCATTGTATCAAAGGCATTAACATAGTGCAATTCAAGGGTTGTTTGAATTCCAAAAATGAGTAGCTTATCGAGGAGTGTGTTTTATCTCAGGAGGTATACGTAAAATTGCGGCACGTTATATCCAAGTCATGCCAATGGCACATTTCATCTCGACAATACATAGAAAAAAAGCTAACACATTCCATCATTTGAAAGTATGTTTGAACGTGATTTGTGATTTTTTTTTTAACGTAAGGCATGCCTATAAAATCAAGCATATATACTGTATTGGTATTTTGAAGTCGATCGGCCTTGTAATGGCTTGCCATGTTACAGCACTCTCGAGGTTGTCTTTTATTATCGTTACCATTTGGTGAAATAATTAATCATTCATCACCCAGAATGACCATGGAAGTTAAAATGGAGCCATGGCCTGGGAAGTGTAGTAACAGCATTTTTTAAACGTTAACAGTTGCATTGTTTAGTACGATTTGTATGGTGAGCGCAACATGTTGTAGCACAGGACAAAATGTACCCCTTTAAACTCATTGTGAACTTCTAATGATGAGTACATACTAAAATACAACACTAAGTGTAACTCGCTATAACTGCATTATTAAGCACAGATTGTAAACTGTAGTTACTCTGTAATGCTAGTATGTAGCTCAAGTGACGTTAACGTTTTAATGACCAACTCCAACCCTCCCGTACATTCCCAACGGTAATCCTGATGGTAATGAGCTGGACATGAGACTTCAGTCACACACCACACAGGGTCAAGTCTTTGCCAATCCTGCCATTGCAGCCCTAGTTTAGAGAGCAGTGTGCTGAAGACAGTAGACATTTTCACTTGAACATTTTATACGAGATGTATTAAAATATAAGGTGTGAAAAACACATGTTTTACTTGCCAATTTGGTGACAATGACTTGGTGTGGGTTTTGTTAAATAATACCTAAGACACTTCATCTCAAATGTATATTTTGAATACTACGGTAATTTAATTTCACAGTATGAATAAAAAAAAATGCTGCAACATACAATTGTGTGTACGACACCAAATACATACATGCTATTAATTACACACACGCATTGTATGCAATTATTTGCCTCATGGCCTAAACCAGACTCCAGACCATTGAGAAGTTGAGATATAAAATCCAACTGCAATGTACTGCAAACACATGCACACCAATACCTTCACTCACACTGCTAACCACACCCTCATGACATCTGGAAGTGCCACAAAGCGCCATAACGTACTGCTTTCATGTAAACTTCCACTGCTAGAAAAACATGTCAAAAGGACAAGGAGTTTGGCCAGATGACACATGACATGACAATAAAATCCTCAAAGACGGAACAATATGCGATGGTGCAGTGTTTAGTGGTAAATAGTGCTGTGATTTTTATGCAATGGAAAATGAAACAAGCCGTTTATAAATCCACATGAGCTTATGACATAGCCTTGTTTTGTATACGATAAATACTTGGTGTGGTTTCTATGGCAAAATGAAACTAAATGGAAGAATACAATGACATCAACAACAATGAAGATCCCAAATGAGATTATTAAAGCTGAGGCTGACTGTACATTTTGATAAAAGTCATGGCTATTAACCGTCAAGCACAGTGGAAATGCAGTTAAATTGTGTTTCTTAAAGAACTTAATTTTTTTCCCTGTCAAGTAATATCTTGATTGGTATGCTTTCAATACTCGTGCCAAAACTGATATAAAATGTCCTTGTTTCAGAGGACAAAGGAATGATTAAATTGAGTGCTGGAAATGCATAAAAAAACTGAACCAACTTGAATACTTCATTATGGGGGTAATTTCACTTTTATCTCATGGGAACAATTTGTAAGCGAACAATAACTGAACCACAACTTTTAGATAAACGATTATGCATCACACATTTAAATGGAGACATATCTAGCAACACGTTTACATTATACACTGTAAACTGGAACAACACAAACCTGGCGCTTTTTACTCAGTGAAGACTGTGTTAAAAGTACATTGTGGTGGTGTGTTGTCCTGCCTTGCAGGCCCTCAAAGGTTGTGGGACAGCACATTTTTTTCAGATGTGCTTCCAATTTAATAAAAATGCGACAAATCCAACAGAAATTGTTATTCACTCAATTGCAAAATATTTACAAGATGAGTACATACATAGAACAGCACATTACTCTGAATGTGGAAATGGTAACATTATGACTCATCCACCTGCAACCCCTACATACACACACCGGATGTTGTGCATATGCACCATTACCCCCTATCGGACTGCATCAGTACTGCAGCGCTTATACTTACTACTTGGCACACTTCAATCATTACTTAAGGTCTGGACAGGAGGGTGGCATCGTGCCAGAGCACTTCACCCCCAACAGGACGGTTGTGGGATCATATTCCAGTTGGGAGTCTTCTTAGCCAATAATCCCTCCACGTTTGATAAAATATGTACTCTGTAAGAAATCAACAGGAATGTGGAATTTCCAACACTGGCTCAAGACCACCAGTGTGAAGGGCATGCCTCAGTGTTAATTTCAGTAAGTGTTTCAATGCAATAATATTTATAAAGATGAGCAATGAATGTTTACAACTCGCAATAAATAAAAATAGCACATTACATAACATTAATTTCTGCAATTGAAACACCAGAATATATACATTACAATTGCAGCAATTAACTTCTACTCGGTTAAGTGTAATAGTTAAAATGTACATAAATATTGTGTGAGGCCAATATTAACAAAGGTCGAATTTCTCAAAGATCTCAAACAACTGAGTGTTTCCAGGTCCAAAAACTAGACAACAAATGTGGCACACTCTGAAGAGCGAACATTTCCATGCGTTTGACATTAACAAGAAAAAAGTATAAAACGCAAGAGAAATAAAAATGTAAACTGTACGCAACAGTGTTTGCATCAATTTCATCAGCGATTTAAGACAGATGACATTTGTTTTCATAAGTAAAGGGCTGCCAATTTACATTTTTATTTCACAAGGGCCAAATCAATAACCCGCGAGGCTACTGGTACAGCATTTTTCAATTCCATTACACGTAAATTATTTAAATATAATGTAGCCACCGCAATACGGGTTGGTAACATGGAGTGTAATGTGATTAAACACTGGCTTTCAGATTAATTAAACTACTGCATTCATTGTGGAGATAAGCTCATTTGAGAAAAATAAAATATGCCAAAAAATCAAGAAAAGCATAACAAAGCATTCACAACAATGCACAGCCAAGAACTAAAACTATAATTTTATATTAAATGCTATATTTTCTTCTTCAGCCTAACATAAGCTGCGCAATTTATCAAGAGGCTTGCAATATTATATTCTTAGCTCTTTCGGTAAAGTCACGTTGAAGGGAAACAATAAAATAATGTTTTTTTTGTTGTATATATATTTCATATATATTTTATTATTTTATTGTTTCCCTTCAACGTGACTTTACCGAAAGAGCTAAGAATATGAATTACTGCAGTCACGAAAACTTTAAATCAAAATGCTTGCAATAGTTTTCATTGCAGTTTTAGAACCAGTATCAAGCATACTTTACTTATTGTAATTTATGATGCATTCATTACAACACATCCACACATAAACAAATCACATTCCAAATGTCGCCTTTAAAATGTGAATAAGAGAGCTCCATTCCAATGACTGTTTCACCTGAAAGCATTACATCATCATTGAGCAGCATCACTCAATGCACGTAGCCATGCCCTGGACTCAAACCTGCAGTATGAGGAGAGGGGGCAGCGATTTCTGCCTCAAGGACATGCTGCCACCCATGCCCAGCCCAGCAGCGTCCCATACAGCCAGGTCCTCCAGTAGATGGAGCGCCCCGTCTCCGTGAGCAGCATGGGCAGAGTGAGCGTGGCCAGGAACACGGCCGATGGCAGTGTACGGCGAAGGCGCAGGCGGGAGGCCTTGGGGCTGCCGGGGAAGCCCCACTCGCCTCCTTTCATGGCCGCTCGCTCGTAAAAGTCAGCCATTAGCCTGCGGGGGGGGGGGGGGGGATGGCGAGGCAGTTGACGGGCATGCCCGTAAGGATTCTGGCTCATGGCAGTTGAGGCATCAGGTTTTATGTGTCCCGATTGGCCAGGGTGGTCAGGGCCCTTGCCACCGAGTACGAATTGAGGCAATCAAATCGTTTACAAGTAGGGGAGAACATAAATGATTGATTCACATGCGATGCCAGGTATTAAAAAGGAGACAATCCTAAATCCCACAGCTCCCTTGTAATTTCACTGGGGAATTGCCATGGCATGTCATGCTTTGTAAAAAATCATTAGAAAATTCCTAGTAGCAATCATCAATCATACGGGGAGGTGGTGTACAGTACTTATGCTAGTCCACCACCTACGTTTTGTAAAAAAACGGACATTTGTCAACATACATTGAAAACAATCCATCCCAATTAATTAGGAAAAGAGTAAATGGTTCTATAATTTATCAGGTTTCCCTATAAATGGAACAATTACTCTGAACAGGTTAAGATCATCTTAAACACTGGATATTGATTTCATTGAAGGTCAATCAAGTCCATAACAATGTACATCATCTTATTATGATGTCTAAACAGCATAGATTTAACACATATTATGCACACAGGCTAATGTATTATATGGCTGCATCCATTATACAAGCTGCATGGTGGTTACGTGCCATGCAAGGCATGATGGGAAGACTGATCATATGGCCTTTTGCTGATAAGAAATTACTCGTGGCTCTGTTGAGTGCAGCCGTGTCCTCTGAGCCCGCATACTTATCCTTCTTCTCAAAGCGCTCGTGCAGCCAGAGCTTGAAGAAATGAGGCTCGTGTGGCACTTCCTGGATGTCAATGCGCTCAAAGTGGATGTGGACACGCGGAGACTCGCAGCACAGGAACTCTGAATGCAAACGCATCGCGCAAACCACGTGCCGGCAGTCAAATCATCAACTTCTCATGATTAAAGGAAAGATCATTTTCCAAATTGTCCTATAAAGTCCTGTATCTGTGCAATAAAATTTCTAAATTATATAACATCCATTCTTAATGAGATGAAAAATGTGAGTGACAAAACCTCAGCATCAAAACTTAAATTCGTCATACAGTGGCATGTTCATAACATTAAGGGAGTAATTTCACTCTGTACAGATAATTAAATTGACATTGTAAAGACCTGAAAAAGTATTAAAGACCAACATTACAATGTTATTAAATGACTGCAACTACACAACTAAGCAATAAGTAAAATGTGAGCTCACAAGTAGCAAGTTACAAAAGCTACCTCTGATCTGCATTCATGTTTCATGAGGCAGCCACCGTTACAGTGAACTTCCTGTGTGCAGGTGGTTGTGTGTGCTAACCGGGCATGCTGGGGGCTGTCTTGCGTCGCCCGGCGGCATCAAGCGTGCCCTCGTACGCCACGGTGATGTCGTATATAGCGTGCAAGTGGTCGCTCATGGCATTGAGGGCAGCGTGCGTGGCCCTGATACGCGGAGTCAGCACGTGGCTCAGCTCGGGCAAGCCTGCAAACATGGGTTGCTGCCTCATCACTGTGTCACTGCACCACCTACAATCACAATCTCTTCAGGTACTAGAAAAATTCAAGGGCGATTGTGATCAACAAGGGCAAATTGGTAAGCAATGGCATTGAGTGACAGAGTTCTGTATAGCCAATTAAAACAATGTTTGGTGTAAAGTGATTTACAATGATTGGTTTATATAACACAGCCATGAAAGTCTTGCGACCTCTGTCTGCGATCTGTTTGGAAAATTTTACCACAAGGGAGAACAGCAATCAGATTTATTCAAATTCTGGCAGAAAAAGGTGTACAATAAAAAGTGGTGCAGTGACTCCTGCTGGTGATGAATGCTAGTGTATCAATGACTTCATGGCAATAACCACCAAAGCAGTGTCTCCCTGCTCAAAAAAAAATAAGGCAACACTCATAGCCGTAGACTGTCCAGAGCAAGCAGTGGAAATTCCACATTCCTGTCGAGAGAAATACTCTCTCCTTAAGACTACTAATATTCACTTTAAACACAGTTATAGTAATTTTATAGACTCTGGAAGGAACATAATGATGTGTGAAGTCAAAATTTTAATGGGATTTGAACTCTCAACCTTCCAAATTAGTCAGGTCCCCTACCCTCAACTCTACCCAGCTGAATTCAAAGGAAGGCACATAAATGAGAAAGCCCAAATATAAGCATTAGTCATTGTACTGTCAGGACGTTAAAGCTGACAAAAAATAATGAACAATTGGGAGGATATTTAGAGAACACTGATATAGCAGAGACATTTTGAATTACGTTTCTAAGTTATGCAAAATGACTCACCTTCCTTGTTTGCAAATGCTTTGCTGGCTTCAATAACATTTGCTGCCTCTGGGTTGTACCTAGTTCCTTCTGGGAAAATCACCAAGTACATCTGTGGAATCATAGTTGATGAACATCACAAGAGCCTTTTTCTGCTGAACTGTACCATTCAATTAGGCACAGTCGTGCACTGACATGCAGTTTAAAAAAAAAAAGAAAACTGTCAGTATGCATGAATTTTTTATGGTCAAAATGAAGGAAGTCCCAACATACGGAGCACTCAATATATGTTTCAAATAAGAGAAACTTGAGAGTATAATTTAAGTGGCTCGTAATCATGCAGGACAGTTATTGATTACATGTAGTCTCTGCATATATCAAAATAGCTGAAGCAGAAGGCTACTTATTCATCTATCTCAGCGCATATATTAAGGATCTTACTTCATGGAAATGGCTCTCAGGGCAATTGCTACCAACCTTCCCCACTAACATTATTCATTGTATTCACTTCAGTCATGTAAAAATTGTCACGGTCATCCTTGTTCATATTTCACAATAGCCTTATATGCTGTTCCTAAACACCATGTAGCCATAAACCTTATTGATGCGCAAAATTATGCTAGCCACCCATAAGAGAATAACATTTGCTAGATGATATGTGATTGCCAGACCTGATACTCCATAAGCTTAGATAGGCTGTATTAAAGCTAAACCGTAGAGTATGTGTTTTATATCCACTACCTCTTTAGCATGCTGCATACAACATTTCAACAATGTACAGCAGCACAAGGCTCACCGGGATTTGTGCCTCCATTTGAGCCTTCAGCTTCCTCTCGATGGCCTTCTCATTGTAGTGGTCCCTGCGCTTCACGTAAACTCCGCCGTGCTGCAGGCACAACGGGGTGGTCTGTGAACCTCTCCATACCAAGCGTGAACGTTTACACATGCCCCGGTTCTTACTGTGCCATCCAGCAAGCCATATCCCAGTGTCACGGCATTCCCCTATAAGGAATTGTAATGTGCATTCATATTCTTTTGTGTTTCTTCCTTTTGTGAATAATCGCACCAACTGTTGTCACCTTCTCACCAAGCTGCTTGGCAATGGTCTTGTAGCCCATTCCAGCCTTGTGTAGGTCTACAATCTTGTCCCTGACATCCTTGGAGAGCTCTTTGGTCTTGGCCATGGTGGAGAGTTTGGAATCTGATTGATTGATTGTTTCTGTGGACAGGTGTCTTTTATACAGGTAACAAGCTGAGATAGGAGCACTCCCTTTAAGAGTGTGCTCCTAATCTCAGCTCGTTACCTGTATAAAAGACACCTGGGAGCCAAAAATCTTTCTGATTGAGAGGGGGTGAAATACTTATTTCCCTCATTAAAATGCAAATCAATTTATAACATTTTTGACATGCGTTTTTCTGGATTTTATTGTTGTTATTCTGTCTCTCACTGTTCAAATAAACCTACCATTAAAATTATAGACTGATAATTTCTTTGTCAGTGGGCAAACGTAAAAAATCAGCAGGGGATCAAATACTTTTTTCCCTCACTGTATACTGAATTCAATCATGACTCCCAATTGTGACAATTCAATGCATTTCAGTGGTGGTTAATGATACATGCCTTTGTATTAAAACTGCACCCTGACCATGTACATCTGTAGCTACCTCTCAGCGAGGAGGACTGAATACCTACGCACCTGAGAAAAATACCATCCATAGAGGGGCAGCCACTTCAGTCCATCCTTGAGCACATAGCGCACATGCCCCAGAGCATTCTGCCTCACTGCCAGCATGTCTGCCACAACCCAGTCAACTGCGCAGGAAAACAGAATACATGGACGCAATAAATTCAAGCATTAAATATGGAAAACGCATTTTTATAAAACTTTATTTAGTGCATTTTAGTATTCAAAAAGAGTTAGTGTCTTCCCACTCAAATGAAGATTTGAACAACACTCATTTCCACTGGCAGCACAGAGCCAGTGGTGGAAATTCCATATTCCCAAGGTGAGAGGACCAGTCTGCCCATGGGGCAACAACTGCTGAATTCTTATGAAGTAATTTTCATGATATTGATTAGAGATACGAAGGACTGCAATAAGGCCTCATCACATCGTGTTGATGGTGGCATAAGTCACCTGAAAATACTTCACCACACTGATCAGTGCGAGTCCATAAAGGTAAATTTGTACAAAATTAATAAATATTCAAAAAGTAAAATTCTCCAAAAACAAAAGTTGAAAATAACGTATTAAATACAATTAAGTAGGACATTGTCAGACTAACCTGTGCTCTGGTGATTGGACAGGTAAATCACATTTTCCTTTTCAGAAGGTAGATCCCCATAGAGGACAACCTATGGCAAAATAAACAATGCACAGTCGGTAAACATGCAGATGAATGTAGTGGCCGTTGCGATATTGCCACAGCTTGCCACAAAACACTATACGTAAATTTACACAACACCTTCGTCTAACCATGCCCTGTGGTTTCAGCGCAGGCCTAACGCAAGCAAAGTCGATCGCAAACGTTATTATTGTACTGTAGAGATTACCGTCAACGTTTCGCTTCACCATTAAACGTATGGCCGATGAAAAAGCATATTTTCAAAAGCTGTCCTGTATAAGTACTGTATGTATAACGTGTGCAATACATAGCTAAACCAACCGGGCACTGCAAATCACGCAATATTGAATGTTGTTAACATTGTTTCCATAGTTTAGACCAGATGACTTTCAGTGGGCTGAAGTAGAAATCACTCAACATCTTAGCGGTGACCTTGTCTCAACCACTTAAACTGAACGCATGACAACATCCGTAACTCACCCCAGACTCCTCCAACTAGTGTAACCCATTGCACAAACCACCTTCAGCAATGTTTGTGCTGTTTTGAAAAGCGACCCAGTGGAAGGTGTTAAGGCAACTGGTCACAACAGCCCTTGACCTAGGCCGCTGCCAAGCTTATATGTTTAAGGTGAAGCAGTGGGCCTTAACCATGACCCTGTGGAAACCGATAGCACGGACAGAAGTCATCAATTGACCAACCCGAGGCCGACATTGCTTTGGTTTTTGTATTCTGTATTGAAAGAGATGCAGTTCACCACAGACCAATCGCAATGTAACCCTATAAACTGAGCAAAAACCCGAAGTCACCGAAACACCGAGTCGAGCCTCCCCGGCCGAAACCGCGGGGAAGAGGAGAGAGAGGGTAATGGGGCGGCAGTGAGTGGGGCGGCGAGGTCGAGCCGCCTCCTGGCCCCTCGCTCCTTACCTCCAGCCCCGTGTAGTTCTCAAAGAAGAGCAGCACCAGGCTCTGGTAGAGGTCGTAGAGGCGGTCATCGAGGCGCCGCCGCAGTCGGCCGGGCCCCAGCAGCAGCAGGGCGCGCCCCACCGCCCAACACAAGACGTAGGCTGGGGCCGAGCCCAGCATCACGGCCGCGGGGGCCAAGTAGCGCAGCGAGTGCGTGTGGACCACCAAAGACAGCAGCATGGCCGGGCGGGAGATGACGAGACAAAGGGACAGGGGGAGACGTGGAGGAGACTACAGGGAGCCAAAGAAGACAGCGGGGGGAGGGGGGGCACGGGGGGCGGCGGCAGGGAGCTGATGACAACCGGACGAGGCAAGGGTCTGAAGGGAGGAGAAAGCTTGTGGTTCCTCTCGAGGATACGAGGAGACAGTGAGACAAGAACAGGATGAGCAAGAGGAAACAGGCCACCGGGAGACGCTGGCATACGAAGAGACAGAGGCAGTGAGAACAGAGGAGAAAGTGACAAGATCACAGACACGGGGAGAAGGGGGCGCAGAGACACGTGGAGACGGCCACTGCAGCAGAGGGAAGCGGACAAGAAGGGACAGGCGGGAGGGGGCAATGGCAGACGGGAAGACTGATACACCGAGACACGAGGAGACAGATGACGACAAGATTACAAGAGAGACGCGAGGAGGCCACAATGCTCCTCACTCACACAGGCGCGGCCATGGTGACCCGATAACCCCGCCTCTACGGCAGAGCGCGGCACCCAAAGCCTCGAGAGGGCGATTTGCAAACGCGAAACACGTGCTCCACAGCACAGTGAGTCTGTGCATAATACCACGCAACACGTGTTTACGTTAGTCACCATCACGCAATGCCCATCATCACCATAATCATCCGTCAGAGGTCGACACTGTAGCACCACTCTTTGCGAAGTCAATCGTGATCATCCTACGGAGAGATTCCGCCCCGCCAGGGAAATGTGGAATTTCTGCAGGTTGCTCGGAGCCGCCAGCTGGGATAAATTCCACACCGGTCCTTATTTGAGAAGGAAGACACGTTGACACGTTTTGAATATTTAATACGGTACTGCATTGCACAGGTCTTGCAATGTTTATGTGTTCAATAGTCACGTGTATCCCATTTCACCATCAACGTCCCCCTTGTACGCGACACGTCTCATTGTTTCCCGTATGGTTTAAAGTTATCTTAACGCTGCTGCAATGCAGTTTCTTCCCAGTTTTCTGGATTGTTTAAGTTTTAGGCTGGATAATAGAACACACACACTTTTAAAGTATGTTTTTGTTCCCTAATATGTTTATTTGAGTCTTATTTGACTATATTATGCAGAACTCATGTATGATACTTAAAAACTGTTAATTGAGAGGGTTTTTTTTAATTTGATGTTGAAAGTCAAACTCCCGAATGTTTTTTTAACTTATCCAGTGTTTTATTTATGAGCAGGCCAAGAGTCACTGTGCCTAGGGGTAACGCTGTCTGTGGATGAGTGTTTCATCACTGCTCATTGTGAAAGGGAATCCATGGCTGGCTTTGATATTGCCACATATGGTGTTTCTTAATCCTGTTGGGCTTTTGACATCAATCAGACTGGGACTGTATTTCACCAAATTGTGATCTTTGAGACCATTTTGAATTTAAATCAACTGTCTTCAGATCGACAAAGTCTTATTGGCCAAAATGTTAGCATATTTTCTCACCGCTGCTAATGCAGCCCCTTAATTGAAATACCTTTGGGATTTATGACCAATGCTGGCAGTTAATAAAACTCGGCGCCACTGCTGTGTAGATGCTATTTCCCGAGTACAGTATATAACAATGTGAAATGAAGGCCACTTGTGTTGTGGCCGAAACGTGATTTTTTTTATTTTTGTTGTTTTTTACGTGACTTTACCGAATATAACCAAAGAGTATAGCTACAAATATCACAGGGTTAAAACAGTACGATCATTCTTACGTGTATAATTATTTCATATTTAAAGTAATGGAAGTAAACACATCAACAGTTAAAAACATCAATCTTTGAAGTCTCCATAATTATTCATAATGTGACCACAAGGTCTTCACCGTCGTGTCTAGAGTCGCATTTAATGCACGTCGTGTAGCAGTGAGCGTGATCAAGCGGCAGGTGGGGCCCGTGCACTGACGAATGTCAGCGATGCAGCCTTTGGCCACTGTTGGGTAGGGTGCTGGCATCAAAGTTGAAATTGGTGAATCATCTTTGAGGTCGGTGACAAAGGTGAAGAGCTGCAGCCAGATGACGGAAGACCGTTAAAGCAGACTCAAGTCAGGTGTTGGTCCGTGCAAAACAATGTGTATGACAAAAAAAGCAAGTGTCATTGTGGGATAATGGTGTCAGGGTCACGGTAAGACGCCTTGAATAAAGTGTGGGGCATTTTCTGGGGAAGTGGGACATGGGATTGGCCAAGGGTATCAAGAGGGGAAAAGTTTTGAATATGGGATTATGAGGTGACAGACGGTTAGGGGCAATTCAGGAAGAAATGAAGGGATTGGTGGAGAAGAAAAGGAGCAGACAGCAGCTTTTGGAAGGTTCGAAAAAAGACGGGGGGGGGGGGGGGAGAGGATAAAGGGAGCCGTTGCGAGAGCACGAGACCTTTGGAAATGAAGTTTTCTACAAGTGCGTGTGTGGTGCGGCTAGTTGAAGTGCCTTACCCAAGAGACGACTTTTGTGGACTCCCTTTCATTTGGTGGCAGTGATACCGAAAGGGTTCGTGGATGCGTGAGAGGAGAGAGAGACGTCGGCTGCCTTGAGCAGGCCAGTCGTGAAGACCACTCTCCTAGCGGTCATCCCCCTAGAACCAATTCCGGTGTCGGCTGGGGCCTCACAGCCTCAGCTGTGGGAGAAGGGGGACCGGCGAATGGGGCAGTCATTCTGCTGTGCATGTTTTTTTTTCTATGTTGTGTAGTTCCCTCTTTTATTTACGTCATTTTGTCAGAATGCTCGTATGTGCTATGTGCCCTCATTTCTCTTTGAGGTTGCATTACATCTGGCTGAGGAACACACACTATGCATTTCGATGTAGCTAAGAGACACCCACTACCTGTGTAAATGTGGTTAAGAGTTGGCCTTGTGTGGGTCAATGTCAATGGAAAGTATAAAATTGTTAAACGCCGAGGACAGGTTATTCTTAAGAAGAGAAGGGTGATGTGGGGATTGTGTGAGGACATCTTACATAATTAATTCATTAATTACGGCTGGGGAACGGCCAGGGGGGGCAGAAATTGAGGTATTGGCTGAACACTTCGTAGAGGTGGCGACAGAAACGAGAGAGGGGGAACAGAGGTGGAGAAAGAGACCAAGGGACAGGGTTGGTGGAAAGGAGAAGATTGAGAAAAACTTTCTGGCTGGAGAATTTTGAAAAAGACACATTGAGCTTTAAACATTGCACGTGAAAGCACTTGTAGCATGCACATTAATCAAATGGACGTGAAAATAAGACTCGTTTGGAGAGCCTTGTTCACAGCTTAAATGCTCAATATAGTGCAAGGGCTGCATGAACTACACACATACATTTGGGGAGAAACAAACCATAGGCAGAACGGGCTAATGCACTACCATGTGCATGGTTGACAGGCGTCCTGTAATGCAAGGTCAAAGTTCTTCCATGAAACATTTCTGTTTTCAATTAGTCCAGCAGCCTCATTGGCTTTGATAGGCAGGGTAACAACATAAAACCACGGAATTCAAAACCCTCTGCCATCCTAGCCTTCATTTTACGGTACATACATGTGAGTGCACATTTACCAAGAGGACAAAATATTTGCGTGCACAGTCATTACAAACGGTTCATCAGCTGCTGGTATACATTAAAGTCTCCTTGACATTTTAGAACAGCAAAGAACTCAGAAGAGAAAGGAATTATGTCATGGCAAACGTAATCTCCACGAGAAAGTGAATCAACTTAATGACTTTGGGGTGTGTTCTTACAATAATGCTAGGGGCATTACATGCAGGCATTGCACAGTCCACACTGGGTTGTAGGAGATACGTGACCTTTTCACCTTGCCTCTCTTGTCAAGTCTCCCTGGCCAGATGATGTGGGACGACGCTCAAGTCCATTGGCAGCCCTTAGCCAGCAGTAGAAATTCCTAACCATACTTTGGTAGAGCTGGCCTCAAATACAGCAAGTTTGGTATGTGAAAAAAACTGTATATACATACATTGCCTCTGTCATAATATATTTACAATGCTGTTTTCTTTCGAACGTTTTCGCCATTTTCAATGCATTATTTAAAGTTTTGACATCCATTGAATAAATTGTCTATATTTACTGAGTTGGTTGGTATAAACCTAGGAGCCAGTCAAGCTGTCCTCAACCCAACTCACAATTGCATGGCATGAAAGTTGGCACTCAGCAGCACGATCGTCTTAACTTTGATCTCTAATGCGTCCAATTGGTTTTTGGTTTTGTTATATTGTCTTTAAATACTCTTTTGCATTTTTTGAGTATAGCTTTTCTATTACCTTATATCAGTAGTTGTACCTGTTTCTGCTTTTAACATTGTTGTTGACCATTATTTTCCCATAACCCCGGGCAATAAACTCCATGCAACGGCCATCTGTTAATTTTAGGTGCAGCCTGCACAAATTATCTGCTGCTTTATTGATTTGCTTGTTCATCCATACACAGATTCAAGTTAGCCCATGATTGGCAGGATGATGTACACATATTTGCTCACAATACTTGAAGCTTGGACGAGTTTTAACCAATGTGGAACATGGACACGTCATTCACAGATACGTATATATAATACACAGGTACACAGGCATACGTTGTGACATTTTGAAAAAGTTTATGCAATTAAATTGTCCGACGGAATTGTAATGCCAATGACAGGACCAAGCTACCAAATACAAAATCAAAAGAGAGATTGTCCTCACGAGCTCATTTAGATGCTTAAAACTCTCTGTGCGGATGTTCCCACGGTAGTTGCAATGCGTTCCAGTGTGGACCTGCCATCTGGATTTATCTCTTTTAAATATATAAAAGTATCAAAACAGTAGCAGGCCTTAATCCCACAAAATCCTTGCAACTCACTCGGGATTAGAAAAGCGATGAATAATTGCCCTAATTCAACCAGAAAAGAAGTATGCAAAAAGAAAATGTATCATATACCCATTATATACTGCCTGGCTATCCATACATAGCAGCTTAAGCAAATTTATAGTGAAATGGATGCCACTGAACGTTAATCATCGTTATTCACTGACTCCTGGTGAGTGAAAGTAAGCCTACAGAAAGCGTGAATAAAGCAATTTTCCTTAACATCCTGAAGTAACAGAGTGCGTATTCATCTGCGACTACACATGTTTATAAGTGTATGGAGATTCCCTTTATTTTTTCAAATTTCCAGAATTCCCGAAGCTCACTAGTGTCAACAACATTCTGTAGGCATTGGAAGTGGAATGCACACAAGCTGACATGTTCCAGAATCCCAGCACTAGGGCTGTTGACCTGAACCTTCTTACGAGTTCAGAGTTTTGTTGGCGTGGGGCGGGGAGGGCGGTCAGTGTAATGGGGTTACTAACTGGCCTTTCATGCTCTTTATGTGCTGCATTAAATCTACTGCCTGACAGGTTAGATTTCATTGCACACATCAGCAGCGTAACAAAGTGAAGTCCCTAGGGAAACTCAATTGCCCACTTCGTCCTCTTACAGGGTGGTGCCCTGTTGGCAATTTTAAAATAATTAACAATACAGTTAAGGGCCCTTTTCAAATGTTGCATATGGATTACAACACAAACGCACAAAACCACAACGTGAATCAATTAAAGAGGAGGAATAAAAAACACTTTTGGCTCAGGTACCCAGGAACGGCTTGTGGCAGGTTGCTCTCATGATGCGGAGACATTGGATTAATTTAACCGAGCGCCAGCACCTTGGGACGGACGTGACCCTCATGCTGGTAATCGCATGCGAACACTCGGCAAAATACAGATAAGCAACGGGGTTTAATGTAAACCCAACACCAAATCATATTCCTCTGGAATTAATCACACAGATGGAAGCATTTTTTTGTAACCCAAATCCTAAAAAAAAAAATGTTCGCTAATGCCTACAGAGGGTCATTATTAGTTACAAGTGGTGTGACCCTGGATAGCGGTGTATCAGGGGACAGCCAGCGCTGACATTTTTAGAGTATTATTACAGCAACAGCTCCATTGTTTGTTTTTCAGAGCTTTAATGGTTCATCAACTGTGGTGTATACGCCGACACACATTTAAGCAAAAGTGTTTCTTGCTCCAAAACGTAGTTCACATCTCCACTGACAGCAGTGGTGGAATTTCCATGTTCATATACCGGGGCCAGTGTTTCTGTTAGACAAACACTGTCAACATTCCTCATGGTAGTATCTATTTCATCTCTCTCAGAGGGATGATGGTTAAGCTACCGCTGACCGGGATTTGAACTCACGCTCTTCCACTTGCCTGGTACCGTCATGAACATCGCCATTATTCCTGCTTAAAAATGGCGAA